TATATATATATATATATATATATATATATATATATATATATATATATATATATATATATATATATATTTGTTAGTTTGTAACGCTCTTTTAAGCTCTTAGTAAAGACCAATAGATAATACTTTATGACAGTGTTTAATCATCAAGCTGAGCTATGATGAGTTTTACGATGACAACATTCAGCTTAGAGAACGCAGCTTCTTTAAAATTCTAATCCTGATCAGAAAATCTCCTCCGTCAATTTAACTGGTACTCTTAAGACCTACAATGCTCCTTGTCTGGAGTTTGGTATTATCCTAAATATCCTTGTCATAAACTTCTCTCTCATCTGTGAGATGTCATCTATAATTTTTTATTCACCAAAATTTCCTAATACTGTATCATATCATGATGAAACGTGCCAATCAATATATTACAAAACGTCATGAACATCATGAGCACATAGATTAATGGTCAAATGTACTTTAAATTAGTCACCTATACATATATGAACTAAATAACTTCAAGTCAACTCATGAAAAAATGACTACGATTGTCCTCTATTATTACATTAAATGTTTTGAGGAGTCTCGTCGTCGCATGTATCCAAAACTAGGGAGTTTTTGTACATAAAAAGTAATAATAAGTCCATGCTACAACTTAATTAAAATCATAAAGAAATGACTTGAGAAAAATTCAAGTATTAGATCTTACATCCTGTGACAACATTTAATGTTAGTGGTCCTTCATTTCAACCATATAGTTCAACAGTATAGGGTTGTGGAGATTACTAATATTGTGATTGCGATCATGAACCGATTGATACTAGACCAACATTGAAACCCTGGACGGCCGCTTCGTCCTCTTGTGGGAGTAGTGAACGGCATTTCGTCTAAAAATTTCAGCAAGGTTTGGAGAGAAAACCAGATCTATTCTTAAGGACTTAGGATAGTATTTTACTATGATTTACCAATTTCTTTTTCTTTTATTGTTAATATACCAAGATTCCTGTATGGAGGTATCGGTTATCCACTACTACTAGACACGAAAGCCCGTTAAGCGAAAGAGAATTCTATTCCTAACGAAATAAAATGAATTCATATTATTCCGCACCAATCTTTGTTCTTGCTCTATTTAAGATAATAAAGGGAACTATGTGTATAAGAACTCTATTCCATCCGCAACCATTTGATCCTGCATTACTATACAGGTTACAGGTCTAAACCGCCAAGAAAGCATGTAAGACTTGTTTCTTAGTCTACGTAACTTTTTGTTTGCCCATTTTAAAACACATTCCAAGAATGTAAGGTCCCCGTTAGGCTAAGGGGATTTTTTCCAGACTAGGTTTCGAACGAGCACTGAAAATGGCCTCAAAGAAACCTGGAGTCAGGTTACTTAAGGTTCTGGAAGGAAACAGCAAGACAGGATGAGCCTTATTGTTCGCAAGATGTCGATGAGCAGACACTTACAGTATCACACAGGGTAATGTGATACTGAAATCATTCAGAACGTAAGAGGTGGATGGATCACTGATGTTCACCACTATCATCCTAGATTTACTGATGTCGAAGGAGGGGGTGATTTTTTGTTTATTAGACAGTACCCTAGTACAGTCGAGGGAGGAGGAGAGTTAGCTTGCCCTCTCGAAGTGCTCTCACATGGCCACGTGTATACAGCCACTGCCACGGAAGTCCTACTCACTGTCTTCTCGCAGCATGGGTGTTGTTTACGAAATCGAGAGGACGAAGAGCGAATGTCCGGCGCTATAACTGGGTTGATGGACATGGAGGACCCACCTAGGGAAATTGAAAAGCTCTGATTCCAAACCAATGGTGCACATTGGCTTCAGGATCCTGAGGGAACAAATGGCATATGAATCAATTATTGGTCACTGGCTACCATGGGACTGCATGTCCTGACGTTGCTTCACTGGCTTGTGGATTAGAGGTTAAGGTCGAAGGATCCTGGTGTGGCGCCCTCTAAGTAAACTACCTGCTTCGGTCTGAGTACGCGGGCAGTATCGCAGCCAACGCACAAATCGATTGACGTGTGTGGTGCATATGTATTTGATGCCCCTTCGCACCAAAATTTATGTGTTCAAATAAATAAATAATGAATAAATAAGCCAGAAGAACTTTCTTAAAGGTTCTAGCTTGTGACCGGGAAACGAGAGCATGTAGATCAATGAAAACCCGTCATTCATACACATCAAAGCAGTTAGGCTCACTCAGTCAGGTAGTTCTCTTAGGCGTGCTCGGACACTATTGCCGTCAGTTATACGGTAGTCTTTACATGAAGTGTGTTCCACTGTCAACTAAGTTATCAAAATATCTAATGATAAGAGAACACAACCGACACGTTTTCGAGCAGAATGGAGGAAGGTTTGGAGAAGTATCTATAGTGTCTGATATTTCTTTTAGTTTACAGGAAAATTGAATAAACCACTAACACTCAACCTTGTGCCTGATGCTGATTGTTATTAATTTAGGCCTCATTAGAATTCTACGGTTTGTAAGTTAAGCAGAAAGTAGATATATTCAAAATATATCAAGAAGAAACAAAACACTCCTAATCTTTTATTAGATTGTTAACACCTCATAATTCAGTATTGATGCGGAAAGAGACTGAACAGGAAAGACTATCCTGAGATGAACGGCTTCATTGTGAACACAGGCTAGTATCAATGCTTAGGTAATTATACAATAACTCCGATATAAACACATACTTCTGTAAGCGATTATGTCATAATTACTAAGACTTCCCGGATATTCTTTTCGTGATCACGTGAACAGCAAGAATCTTTAGCTGCAAACTAACGAAAGTTACTTAAACACTATTCACTTTCCCATATGCAAAAGTTATTGAGGAAAGTGATCATAACAGTCTTACTTGTGTATTTCCACATAAATAGCTGGCATTTTCTGTTCAATGTACATTAGGCTACTATAAAATCAATTTCATATTCACTTTAAATATAAAGTGATATTATAACATCGACATTCGGAAAGAAGTTTAAACATATCCCATAGGTGTAATAACTCCGCTGCATATATACACAATGAACAGAGCACTTATCAAGCTTCACATTATGACGCATATCAACCAAAACACTTGCGAAAACGAACCCCAAATACCGCAGAGGGGAAAAAACTAAGTACATAAGACGTACGATTTGAACTGCGACCACCTTTTTATAGTACCTAATGAACGAAATGCATCAGAACAGAGGTAAGAACGGAGGAACGCCAAAATAAAACACGGCTGGAATCACCGGTCACGTTAGCTCACATATGAGTAGAGAACTAACTAATAAACAATCAAACAACCCACACAAAATAAATTACAGCCTCCACAGACTTCAGCCAACAAACAAGTGCAAAAAAGACCTTAGAATGAACCTTCGCGAACCGAAAGATCTAACTAATGGAGACGCCTTGCACCTCTCCCGACAATTCAATGTTCGTTTTAGACCAGAGCTGAATATTTAGTTCCTGACGACCTCAGAACATACTTTCATCGTGAAAACGTGGGTTAAGAGCACATTCATCACCACTAAATCTGGAATCTACTTGACCAGATCGATGACATGGCCTCTCACCTAATCTCCAAGTTTTATTCGGGACGTATTACTGCGTGGTGTTTCATCCACTTCAGAAACACAGGAATACTTTGCACAGTAGCCGACGATGAGTCGTCAGACCGGTGTGGTCTATGCCCTCCGCGAAGTAGGCGACCGCTTGACATCGCAAATAGTCGACATCCTCCAACGAGTCCACCTCACCTCAAACCTCGAGGGAAACTCGCAACTCAGAGTGCAACGGTGAGCTGGGTTCTCAGCACACGTCCCACCCCTGTAGTCTCGGGAGCTTTTCAAAGGGTCTGGGGAAACTCGACAATCCCTCAGTGGTCCAAAGTAACACCCTACTAGTTGACAAGCATTATCCTACGCTCACGCTCGTTCCATATACACATACCTATATACAGGAACACCGACGACTTATCGCTACGGGACGTGAACGCCGGTATGAGATGAACCAGTGAACGAACTGTCGCGCGAAAGAAAAGACTGGTCCCACCTGTCCACCCAAACCCATGTAACTCACCCAGTCACAACCGTAATAAAAAAAGAAGATAGTTGTACATGCGGAATTGATCCGTAAATTTATTTTTGACAATGTTTCACAGCATACATAACGATGGTTCAACCATGCAAGTTTCCGAGTCCATTGCGTCCCACGCCACGGACGAGTGTCAATCCTCCAAGGGGCACCGCGAGATCTGCAAAACCACTCAAAAATTGTGAACAAAGTGAATGGATACCATGGTTTCGACCTTGCTACATGCCTTTCTGGACCCAAATTTACGGCTCTACAACGAACTTTAAAACTGCTCACTTTCAAGTGCCTGACATAGTGACAGGCCTGCTTAACACAAGGGGCTGGAAGACCTAGCAAGTCAACCTCGTCTCCCGCCCAACAAGCATCCATCTCCCTCGTCACTACCAATTACAAAACTCATAACTCAAAAGACTAACTGGCTTCAACACTTTTATTTCCTTTAATACTAGTGACAAAGCTGGGTTAAAAAATGACGCTGCATGGGCTTATGCAATTATGATACGAAACTTTACACTTAAGGATGAAAGTCACTCTTGATTGGATGCTAACTCACAACGGACATGACAGTTAAAAAGAACGCTCGATTGCACATGCAGTGAAAATTAACAGTTAACAGTATATACACAGTGAATAATAGGATCCCTGGCCTCCTCAGCTATAGACAGGCTGTCGACTTTCTGCTGGCTGACCTAGAACTTGAGGGCGCTAGGACAACTCTGTCTCCTCTGCTAGTAGAACTGCCTAGACCAAACTGTTGAGGCCATACTAACCCTGCAACGGATATGAAGAAGCAATTAGACGTTGAAAACATGCTCATACTAAGAAATTCTTACCTGACTGAAATTAACGGCGGCCATAGCCCCCTATGTAGAAGACAGATTAGTTTGAACGGAGTATGAACTTACCTCCATAGGGAGCATTTCTCTGGTAACCGCCTGGTGGGCCACCGCGCATTGGACCACCGGCATAGTTTTGTTGGTTCCCGTAGTGCCCAAATCCATCACCCATTCCTCCCTGGCCCCAACCAGGACCATCTCCATTCATGTGATTTGGACCCCAACCCCCTCCGTAATTCCCACCCCCGTAGGCACCGCCACCACCACCACCGTTTGAGCCATACCCACCATAAGGACCACCTAGTCGATAGAACCATCAAGTAAACTACTCACCTCCATAGGAACCCCCGTAACCTCCGTCATACCCGCCATAGCCTCCACCCATCGGTCCATAACCGCCGCCGCCACCACCGTAATTGTTATTGTAATCATTTCGAGACTCCTGCTTCTTCTTCATTGTGTTGATTTGTTCTTTACTGAGAGCTTTCTTCACGTCCGCCCTACTGGATCCGATATGGTGTGGTTTATACAGTATAGCTTTATCAACAGGGTCGTAATCATCAAACGTGACGAATCCGAAACCGCGTGACTCGCCCGATTCCTTCCAAGCAACAACCTCACACTCAGTGATGTTACCATACTTGCTGAAATATTCACGCAGTTCTTCATGAGTTACATCTTTTTTCAAGCCACCTACAAACAGCTTCGTCACAGTCATGTGAGACTCGGGGCTATTTGAATCTTCACGCGGCATAGCTCTCTTGGCTTCAACGGTTTTACCATCAATTTCATGTGGTCTATTAGCTTGAGCAGCATCCACCATTTCTGGTTCCTTGTAGGTGATAAAACCAAAACCCCTGGAGCGGTTGGTTCGACCATCTTTCATCACCACAACATCGACAATTTCGCCCCACTGGGAATAGAAGTCCTTCAGCTTGGCTTCTGTAGTAAGAGGAGTCAGGCCTCCAATGAACAGCTTGCGGAATTGTTCAGTACGACGGTCGTTGTTTTCAGAGTTACGTCTTCCCATTTCGTCAACCACGGAAACAGACAGTATGAACTGACAGTATGGCAAACGGATATAACCCCACCACGAATTGACTAAAACAAAAATCAGGAAAACACAAATATCTCCATATGTACCTTGAACTTTCGTTGCGTTTTTTGGTGGATATTTTGCCCGAAAAATAATATACTTGTGATTGTGTCTGTCACCATCATATGGGTCGAACAAATGTTCAATGTTCCATGGAGACTGGTGGGAGTCGTGTCATTAATCACTAGTTCGTGGATGTGCTGAAGGTAATTGAGCGATTTTAAAGCCTGCACTGAGTATTTCAAAACTGCTACAATATGATTCTGACGGTCATGGCTGTCACTGGCCGACGATTTGCTAATGGGACAATACTGACGATCTTGTTGACCAACCGAGCTAAAACTCCTAATTTTGTCGGACAGAAATGATGAATTATTTCTCAGTTGAAATAAACTTTTGAGTGGCACCCTCGGTAACCACAGAACTAAAGCATCAAAATTACCCAAGGCCACACTGTGTAACACTCAGACGTAGAGGATATCCTACTAGCTAGTTACTTACTGAAATCATATGGGAATGCAAGAATATTCCCTGACATACAGTATCTTGAGTGCTTTCTCATCCGGAACATCCCTAAGCGATCTCGCGAGACGTTTTTCAGCAGAAGAAATATCATTGTGAAAGATGTACCGGAAAACACGGTCCCTGACCATATAAACTCCGATATTAGGGAATGGAAATTTATCAAGCAATCCTTGGAGCTCAGAAACATATTGACTCAACAAGCGATGGGACTAACCATGAAGGACGTAGATTCTAGACCTCGGCTAATGAAGGTAGCCTTCCCATCCTACCATACAGCAACTGCAACTCTGGAAGCATTTCGCGCCAACAGACTTCGGTTGCCATCTGAAATCAATGTGCATCCGAATGGGCCACATGACGCCAGGATCAAGCACAAAAGCAAGTTGGAGCTGACCATTCCACTTGTGGACGGTCTTGACCATAAAAGACGTGGAAAGGACAGGGGCTACCAACTCGGGAAAAATTGTATAGCTAGGCTATCTGTCTATCCACATATGACTCATACAGACAAACAGAATGGGGAAGCTCACTCGTTTCAAATTGAAAGAATAAACTGCTTCTACATGAACGCCACGAGTCTACCGAATAAAATGGATGAGCTACGCGAACTCAGTAATGCTAACGATGCTCATCTGATAGGAATATCTGAAACTTGGATATCAAGTCAGTTTACTGACTAGGAGCTAGCAATACTCGGTATATCTTTGTTTCGCAACCACATAAAAACAGTATTAGAGTAGCCTTATTCTTACGATCACGCATGGAGGTATATCAAGTGCACAATCAAAAGTTTATCAATCTTGATGAATTTGTATGGTGCTCAGTAAGATTGTCCAACACCTTTAGGTGTCTAGTTGGAGTCATTTTGTTGAGAACGTTAGATCCCCGAAACTCATATTTTGTAATTTTATCTTTGTGGGGCTTGTATGCAGATGTATGCTCGGGCATTTCTTACCACCCATGCACACAGTCAATTGACGAACTTATCGATTAAATGTTTAAAAACTTCCATGGCAACATTGATTATATATATTTTGTATAAATACGCTTGATTCGTGTGCTTGAGGGACCTGGTATCTTCTGGTTGTCTGTACAATATACTTTTCTACATTTTACCATGACTTCTGGATCGAGTTAGCTGAGTCGGGAACAACGGACCATTATAGCCTATCGAGTCGTTGAATCCTTGATTCTTCGTTCCGCTCCGAGTAAAACGAATCATTAGTAGCATTTTAGTGTGACGAACATAACACATTTATAGGAAGCCCACTGCGGAAATCGAGTATGAGAATCGTATGCTGGAAGGTTTATCTCGATCTACTAGTCTCGGATTCACTCATATCTTGGTTCTAGGAGACTTTAATCTTCCTAAAGTCAGTTTAGCGGGACATAGGTATATTGAAGGTGAGAAACCTAATGAAGCACGTTTCTTCAACCTCATTGGGGATCTGAGATTATTCGGAAATATGAAGTCGGCAACTCGTTGAAGAAACAGTCGGACGCCGTCGCGCTTGGACGATGTATTTACAAACGAAAAATTCCTAGTTGATAATCTCTCAATCCTGGATCCCCTGGGGAGAAGCAATCACGCCATCATAGTTCTCAGTTTTATCAGTAAAACTGAGCCGAGACATCCGCCCACAACAGGCTCTGGAATTTCAAACATTGAATGTGTCAGCTTTACAGGGGATGATCTTATCCGCAACGCAACTATGTAAACTTCATGTATCGCACACTGTCATCTGTGCGTTCAAGTAACCACAGATTTTGTCATTTCATAATGTATTTTTAATTAAATAACTAGATTGTGTTGTTAATTTTTCTGTTTTTAATTTTTATTCGCCACGTCTGACTGCGTTACACTGTACGTCCATTGCACGCTGAGATGATATCTCAAGTCATAGTGAGTTTATTCACATAGTTGATTGTTTCCAGATAGACTGTCAGTGCATGATTTTACTGAAGAAAGGTTTGTTGTACTGTAAACTATGTTTCTATGAACAACTGCCTGTTGTCTTCAGTATGAAAGCAGTATATATGTATCCTTCTTTTTTTCTTAGGTAAGTTCAACTGGCCTATATTTCGTGTTTTGGTTTTATCGGCTTAATTATGTCCATTTAACTACTTTGAGCAACATGTCTGTGCAAATGAAACAATAACTATGACACTTGCTTAGTTTAGTGTTCTTGGTTGTCGTATAATTCAGTTTAGTTGAAAGAATTATGATATACTTAAGTATAGTGCTTGAAGCCTGTAACGAAACAGATCAGTTTAGTAAGTAGAGTTGCCTGTTTCTAATGTGTATACGGATTCAGATCAGTCTGATTAAAAATAGGAAAAAACGTGCCTTTGATGCTGTTGCTGTCATACATTATAAGATAGCGATAAGTATGTTTGGTGTTTATTTCTAGACTGTACATCTATCACTGACCATATTTCATGATCACTGTCATTAAACAATTTCCCCAGCAATAACATCGGTAGCAAGATAGCTAAGTGTCTGAGCTTTTAGTTGCCCGCAAAACAGCAGTATACAGTCTTAGAAGATGAGTGTTCTGTGTCTCAATTAAATGCAGCTGGCTGTGGACAAATGTTAAGAATCTTTTTGACAACTGGACTTTTAGTTTATCAGACACTTACTCTGCTTGTATGTTTTCCTGTTAAACTAGACGCAGATGCATGGGAATACTTAAATGGGAGCAAAATAATAAAAACATTGCAATACGGTACTAAGCCCATGTTATGCTTTGCGCAAGTAATAGTAGCTGACCTTATCTAATATTCATGAACTCAAGGTAAATCACAACTGCATAAATTCTTTGCTAAAAAACATGTAATTTGGTTATTTATCTATTCCACATTTCTGACTAAATTCATCACTATTTTTTCATTTAGAATGCAACAGGAGTGAGCCTTCACAGACCCTAAAAACTGTTTCGCCCTTGGAACTATGGCCCTATGGAACTGTTTACGGGAGACCCAACGAACAGCAGATTATAAAAAGGATGCTGGACGTCCATTTTAGTCTCACAACCACTTCCAGTATTTTTTGACTTCTTTTACTCTTTCGTTTGGAAAAAAAACAAAAACTGCAGCTTAACATTACCAATACAACTTTTAAACGGGAACTTGGTTTAAACCTTTGTTTGATATTCGATTCTTAATGAAAGTTCTTGAATAAATTTTTGAATCTAATGCTACTTTGTTTTATCTACTTAATCGTTGCAAGAAACTTGTGATAAGCGAGCCTCTCAGCACCTAGTTCATGTGTTCAAATGGTTGTGGACGGAATGGAAGGAGCTTTCGCTTAACAGGCTTCCGTGTCTAGTAGCAGGGGGTCACCAAAACCTCCAGGCAGGAACCTAGGTATGTTAACAATAAAAGAGGAAAGAGAAATTGGTAAATCATAGTATGATACTACCCTTAATCCTTAAGAATAGATCCAGTTGCCTCTAAAGGACTCCTGGGAAGTCGCTTGGACTAGCTCGGCGGGCAGCGGATTCCAGCATTTGACAACTACTAAGGAGTAGAAGTTGCGTCTACAGTCCGTTCTGCTATGTTGTGTCTCTAGTTTCTGGGACTAAGCTTAAGTAGGTGTTTTAGGGGATGTCCAGAAGTGTTAAGGTTATTGTAAGCCATTAGGTCACCTCTAAGACGTCTATACTCTAATGAGTAGAGGTTAAGTGATTGGAGGCGCTTTTCATAAGGTGATTTGGTGCATATCTTCGTCATTTTCTTGCGAGACTTACATACTCGGGTCCTCTCATAACTTATTCTAACCACCATGGGTTGTCACGGCAGCTGATGGATGGACACGCGTTACACATCCTAACCGTACCTGCGTCTTATCTTATAGCTTCTAATTCAAATGACAAGCAAGCAATGCCCCTACCCGCACTAATGGAACACTAGTAACTAAAATGCACCCCGTATGGTACCTTACACTGGTTTACGCACTCGCTTAGCTCTTTAGTGAGAATATTAATACGGTCCTGCTGAAAATCCCATGAACCCCCTACCTCCATCAAAACAAATAAGTCTGTATTTGCTGCATATAGCAATTTTATTATTCAAAAGTAAGATATAACAGTTAGAATTGGAGTAAAATGGCAGTATACAGCAGATGCACGTGGTACATGTCTTCATCGATTAACTGAAATAGAGAATACGGATATTAGCTTAACAGGCTTATTTAGAAAGACTAGTGTCTAATTTGAACTTACTGCGTGAGAAAGTTATACTGGAACTACGAATAATGTAGAATCTAGTCTCCCAGGGCGTACGAAGCACTCAGACTGTAAGACAGTTGTCCAAAAATAATTCGAATATGAAGGTGAAAATTTGCAGGTACTTTTCATCGTAAGGGTGAACATATTAGGTACCAGTTGACATCATACCGTAAAAAAACA